TACTTATAGTAACAAATTTTTCCTAAAACTGTCAATATTTGTGTTATGGTATTGATTCTTGTACTTGTTGTTGTGAATATTTTGTTCTGACATCGAAAATAATAAAGTACTTGTGAGCTCAAGTGAGCCATTCCGATTTTGTTTACTACAAATTCTTCTGCAAAAATTTCCTATGACAATGTTGATCTAAAATTTGTTTATAGTAAGAATAAAATATACAATGTTCAAAGTACTCAGCAGTACTTCAATTATATGTCTGAATTTTTAAATAGGCACATTTTCAATAAAAAGCATTATTAGTAATTACCTTTTCTTGTAAAACACATTGAACGAATAGTTCTTTCTTGCCAATTTCTTTTTTAAGTTCAATTTATTGTGCTTAGGTGACCAAATTTTATTCAAGCAAGTAAATTTCTCTGTATATCATAAGAAAGGGGAAAAACACTTTCTATGTTTGTTTAAGATATCTAAATTCTATTCAATTAAGGAATTTGTTAGATCTTGATCTCTTTGAATCCAATTATTTACTTAAAAAATCAATCTACATCTTAATGCTTTAAAATCAATTGCTTGTCATTACCTTGAGACTTATCAAGTATAAATCATAATGAAAGTACTAGTCGTTATACTGACTTTCTTCACATAGTTCAGGGAACAAAGAGAAAAATTGGGTAAAACCTCCAAATATTTTCGGATAGTTCCAATATTTATTAATGAATTATAATAATTTAAAATTTTCAAATATATGTTATTTTAGTATGTATAACAATGAATGCTCCAAAGTTGTGAATAACCAAAATATTCATATGCTCCGAAAATTGAAGCGATAAGGTACCGTTGGTTTTTTTAACGATAACTTCCTTAATTTTAAAGCTATTAAGACGATCCAAAAACGATTTTACGCAAAATTTTGACAGCTAAAAGTACTGTAAAATTAAATATTTTTTAACGCTTTATTTTTGAGATTTTTGATGTTTAACTAATAATATTGTGGAATTACACTTCCAATATCTAGCAAATGGCTAGGATCGTTCGTTTCAACTTATCAGTTAACGTTGATACTTTTTATGTCGTCTTAGAACAACAGGTAAAATATACAGTATACTACTAAATGTCCATTAAAGGTAAGTAATTTTCTAGAGACACTTGAGAACTTTGTTGACACTGCAAGTGATTTACCGATAAACACAATCCTGATAACCGCCTTTGTTAAGTGCCTACTAGTGGAATTTGTGCACTCAGTGAACTCAGAATGGAATTTTCTCAAGTGCTTCAGCTCACCAACTTATCTCATCGATCGATGGTGTGATAGTTTTCTAGTTTAGATAAGATTTTATTGTAAATGATGAAATTTACGATCGGGATGTATATAAATTTTTTCGTCGACCTTAATAATTTGGCTCCGCTTCGTCAATGTCTTTGGATTAATGTCCGCTTTTACTTCACTATTTAATTAAAGTAATAATTCAAGATTCAACGATCGTAAATGGAGAAACTTTTTTGCACATTTTCCCATTTGTTCACAAGCTTTTTAAATAGCAAATGCCATGGAATAGAACAAAAATCGAATTCGATGCGGATCATTAATAAACTGTAAGGACCATAAAGGCCCCAAATATGAACCTTGTGGTGCTCCAAATTCACCAGAGTTACGATAAATCGCCTATGTTTTAAATACACTCAACTGAAATCCTCTATGTCTGGTTTGATATAATTATAATTAAATGGTACATACACTTTAGAATTTATACACTATTTACGTTTTCAATAAAACAGGTTTCAGTTAATGTAAAATATGTTGGGCATATTTGTTTTGATGTTATCAAAACCATGTAAATATTATTATTACAAAAGCATACAAGTACACGCGAAAACCTGTTGACAGATTTGTTTCTGGTAAATTTCGTCACTGATAATAAAATTTTATGTTAAGTGAGCAGATTTTCCGTTCCATTAGGGAAGTAATAAGTTACAACACATATCATGTCTATAATTTCACGTAAAAATAATTTGTACCTTTGCTTAATTTATTTTTAAGTGTTCCTTGAATAGGTTTTAGACAGAAGTTGTCGCTTAATCGTTTGTTTGATTCCAGAACATACTGCTTTATATAATGTTCGCATGTCATTATTTGGCATTGTAACCAATATTCTTGGTGTGTACAAACTATTCAATAAATTGTTTTATGTATGTTTTGGATTTCCACAGTCAAATAAAATGTTGTACTACCGATGTTTAAGGCTAACTCTTTCTGCATCAACAAATAATTTTTCTGATTATTTTCATCTGATATAAATACTTCGATGCGTTGCTAGAGTGCCCCCTGGACATATTTATACGAAATTCGAAGCGTAATTTTTCCTATACACATATTTATTAGCACATTGTTAACATATTTATTGGTTATTACACTTAGCAGAACTGTCTCAGCGTAAATATTTATTTTTTGTCAAGGTACTAAAAAGTCTGCTAAAAATAGTGTATGTTTTTGCTGAAATTTTGGCAGAGGAAAGAAATAGTTTTCGCTGGATATGCGTATGTATGTAAATCGTTTTCTATGCCTTCGAAATGAAAAAATATCGATAAATAATTAATCAGTGTAACCGAGGAACTTTTCAGGCATTTATAATATAAAAAATAATTTTAAAATAGTCAAATTTCTTATTTCCCAAATTAAAATCAGTACTGAAACGACATCAGTATTTAAAAAATAAATTTCGGTTATTTTCTGAACAGACCTGGTACAATGTAAATTAATATAAACTTTGATTCTAACTACAGTTACATTATATTCCTATTTGCTGTTTGTCTGCACTTTATTCCTTTATTTTAATGTCTTTGCTCACGCTTCAGGTTTTTCACTGAATTGATAATCATAAATTTTAATTAAAAAGCTAATCAACCATTCACTGGTTATTTATTATTCGTCGATTACCATCAATCTGTTTATTCCACTTTCATAACTATTTCGAGTTTTATAAACATTGTATTACCTCGTTTTGGAATTTTTTTAAAATTGTTTACGCAAATAAAAAGAGAAGAAACGTTTATACGTAAACAAACATAAAGGAAAACAGTGTCATTTGTTTTCCTAGAAGCATACAGTGTACAAAAATTACCATATAGAACTGTTTCTTAAATATATTAATAATTAATTAGTAAATTTGCACTATGACATTTTGAATGTTTATTGCATAATTGTCCGTATTCTAATATCGCAAAAACTTGTTTAATAATAATCAATCATTAATTAATTTTTATCGTGTCCTACATAGAATATAAGTGTAAAGGCAATTATTATTAGGCAAAATTAATAGCAATAGCACTAATATTATTACATAATGCTAATATTGCAAACCAAAAAATTCGACCTGATGCACTTCTTGATATTTTCTAGAAATTAATTAGATGAAATCTTTAAACAGCATTAACTATTTTTTCTATATTCAAATCAAAATAATTACAAAAATACGTAGGTATTACACTTTTGTTTATTTCGTAATACTCTGTTAAATTAATCTTAATTTTATATTCTGGGATAATTCTATATGGATGATCTAATTGTTAGAGTGGTTCTGATTCCAAAATTTAACTAAAAAAATGTGAAATAGTTAATAATTAGGTGTACCTTGACAAAAAATTTGCAATTTTTTTAGGGGTTATTATTTTGGAAGTTAGTTGATATTCACAATAATGAGGTACAAGATTATGTAATATCTAAGTAATTGTATGACATTTTGCATAAGTAGTGCGTTATTCATATTTTCAAAAATATTAAAAATATTCGGAAATCTTATCATTACTTTAAATGGGAATTTGAAATATTTTAAATTATTTCTATTCAAAGCTATGGCTGAAATGCAAGATTTTCGGCCAAATTCACAAAACATTTATCGAATTTTTATTATTTCTAAAGTAACGACAAGTAATTCATGTTCCTATACTGATTTAATGAAAATTTTTCATTCCACGCACATGATTTAAGCAAATACTGAGACTTTAGCAAACTAATCAAAAGTATGAATAGCAAAACTCAGGCTGTTCTACTTTTCACAAACTTTTCTAAAGCTTTGGACAACTTAGATTATAATACAAATACTCAATAAACTGATTATTGATGGAATGTCCTCTTCTATGTTACTTTTTTCCATGTTATATTTGTCTAACGTAACCTATCCGTTGAACACCCTGGTTTTGTTTAAAAGAAATAGATATATTTTCTGAAGTACCTCAAGGTTCCATTGTTGGACCATTATTATTTGTAATATTTATTAATGACATTACAAAAGATTGAAAATTATCGATAATTAAAACTTTATTCGAATTTCCAGTTAAGATCTGTCAACTAAAAAAATATTGTGGTCGATTTATACTAGTTCATCTCAAATCCAAAAAGAGCAGATTAAAATAAATTTACAACATCAAGTATTAAACACTATAAAACCGTGTGATTTCAAATACACAACTATAAAATATCCAGTGGAGTTTAATCAAGTTAACTATGGCATAATAATTTAATCAAAATAAATCCGAGCGCATTCTAATTTCCTCCTACAGTTAAATGTGTAATGAAAAACTTCCAGCAGTTTATTTCCCAGCTTTGTTTACGTTCAACCTTAAAATATACAACTGTTTGTTTATGTTCTAATTAAAACAACAATGGGATTTATTACTTGCTAATAATATCCTTCACCTTTTAAGTGTTTGCTGATTTACACATAGGCGTTTTGAAAGTGACTATTTTTTGCAAAACCCGCCAAAAATTTTTTATAAAGTATTTTGTTTGGTTAAATATAATTTCTACTCGAAGTTCACCATAATCAAAAACATTGAATTTTATAGTTGATTCATACATATTACTGACATTTGTCAACATAATCAGTACTTTTTATGATATAATATATTCTCCGAAGGATACCTTTCACTTTACGTATCATTTAAATTGCATTTCCAATGTCGTTTTTGCAGTTAATGTGGTACAAGGTCAGAAATAAAATATGTATTCTCAATATACTGTAATGTTGATACAAAGGTTTACATCTACAGTTTACCATGTTCCAATTTAATAAGATCAGAAACCTTTTCCCCAATCATGACACAAGGGGCATTCGGATGTCCAGACAGAGTAAAAGGAAAAACGCTAGCATCAGCGACTCGTAGCTTTCTCATTCCATGCACCTTGAGGTTGCTGTCTACCACATCACCTTTCTCCATATTTGGACCCATAGGGCAAGTACCGACTGGGTGATATATGTTGAAAGTTAACTGCCTCAGGGAACAATGCCAGTACTCTTCAGAAAACGGTGCAAAGTTCTTACAAGCAGGGAGCGGTTTTGTTTGGAGTTTTGTACCGATTTTTTGAAAGGCCTTGGTACTCGTTAAATTAAGAACCAACTTTATGCCTTCATATAGAACTTGGATGTCTCTATTATCTCGATCGGACAAGAAATTTGAATCTATAACCGGATAGTCGTAGGGAGATTTACTTTCTAGTCTGACCGTACCAACCGATTGCTGACGAAGGTTTATTACATAAACAGTAAAACTACTGGTTATATCTGTTCCACCCCACATAGATTCATATATGTCTTGGTTCCACAGAAAAATTCTGTCGAGGATTTTGGAAGTAGCATTTGGAGAAAGTATGGCAATTTCTATGTCTGGATAATTTGGTATGTCTTCGAATTTGGATCGATAGAAGCCTACGCCTTCGTTGGGGCCCATGATTGTAAGAGGCCCTACACCTCTTAGATAGTCCTCAACGTATTCTGATAATGACCTGCTAGGTATTGAAACGTTACTAGCAAATTTTAATCCGTGGAACAGACTGTGATCGCGCAAAGTAGTACCTACTTCCAGATGTTGTATAACAGGAATACCAAGTGCGTTTAAGTGGTCTTCTGGTCCGATTCCTGACAACATCAGCAAATGAGGTGATAAAATAGCACCAGCTGATATTATTACCTCGTATCTTGCCTGGACTTTGTACATTTTCCTTTGATGTGAAAAGAGAACACCCTCTGCCATGTGAGTGGTGTCATTAATTATTATTTTCGTGACGTAACTGTCGGTCATTATTTTTAAATTTTTTCTTTTTAAAATAGGTAAGATGAAGGAGGAGCCACCATCAGCTCTTCTACCGTTTCTAGTATTGTGTTGATTTTGAGATACTCCAATTTGCTCTGGTGTATTATAATCTGTTAAATGGTATCCAAGCTCTTGATTAGCGTTAAGAAATGCCTTTAAATGTGGGCTTTCCGGTAGATTGTACTCTACGGATAAAAAGCCACCTTTTCCATGAAAAGCCATATTGACAGGAGCTTCTGGATTCGTCCAATGAAAGTCTTCTGATTTTTTGAAGTAAGGCAAAACTTCTTCATAAGACCATCCCGGGTTTCCCATTTCTGCCCATCTGTCGAAGTCCATGGGATGTCCTCTTGCGTAGACCAAACCGTTTATTAGTGACGAGCCCCCCACTCCTTTTCCTCTGGGGTATGGACATGTCTGGTTGATGGTTCCTAAAAAAACATTATAAAGGAATTTTGCATGAAAAACTGGATATTCTAACATTTAATAGAAACTGACTACTAGTAGTAGTGCCTAATGGGTTATATTATCTTTGTATTTATCACAATTGTTATAAATTCTTTCTTTGATCTGGTGGCCATTTGGAGGACAATGATTTAGTTAAAAGCTTCTTTATGTCTTTGACAAAATGATTTTTAAAATAAAAATTACCTAAACAGGCTGTTTTCTGTGGGGTGCTTCGAAAAACCCAACCGTAGTTACTCAATGCCGCATAAAGGCCCATGGATGGGATCTGCGTGAAGTCATTACCAAAAGTTCCAGCTTCCAGCAACAAAATTTTCCATTCGCCGATTTCGGAAAGTCGATTGGCAATGACGGTCCCAGTTGAACCCGCTCCAACTATTACAAAGTCGTATGTTCCGAAGTCTAAAAGAAACAAACAACATTTTTCGTTACTTCATCTAGCTTACCTTTCAATTAGACCAATTAGACTAATTATTTCGAAAGTTCTCGTTAATCGATAGCAATTTTATATAAATTGTAATAGAAAATGGTCTTTACCCAAAGAACGAGCATCGGGTTCAAGTGGTTCATACATCCTAGCATCCTTAGGTAGTTCATATTTATCACTACTTTTCTGATTTGCTTCTATTAAGCTTTCATAATATTCTATAGTATGTTCCATGGAACAGGAGCAACAAAAAGTAAAGCACAATAATGTTAGGACTATTAACATTGTAAAAAACTGTTTTGTTCAATGTTAAGAGCAAATTAGAACGGAGTTCAACTTATGGCGTATGACCAATTCAAAATAATAAACTTGCACTTACTTTTATAATCTACATATTGTTGAACATATGAATACCTTTATCGAAAATAATTACAATGTCAGGGTATATCTATACTTTACGATAATAAGCAATTTTGTTAATAATTATTAATAATTGCATAAGAAAGAAAAATAGGAAAAGGGTCAGTAGTAAATTTCTGAAATAAGTCAAATTGAAAGTAAAGAATTACACAGACCGACAAGATTTTAACTCAACACACTTTCCCAAAGGATTTTGGTGCGCTAGATTCGAATCCGTGGTCCAAATTTCTCAATTGGCTCTGATTTTCGAGATATCCTAATCTAAAAGTGCCAAAATCGTGATTTTGGAAAAACGTTTACACGCAAAAGAAATTAATATGCTCAATCAACTCATAGGGTTTTTGGGTATAGAGTTTATGAGTTCCAGATTGATAAAATGAAATGCGTAAAATATAGGCAATATATCGAATTTTTAAACATTTTTTTAAGTTTATTGAAAAATGTAGGCTATTGATTATATCCAAAAAAAAACAGGGTTAAAAGGAACTATGGCGTTCAAGTAATTTTAATACATAAATCTTTCAAAGCGTCATTTTAGATGAAAAAATCGCGGAGTGCTGTTGGAGATAGGGGTGAAAATGAACCCCTTTCAGTTTTTTAATTGTATCTCGAAAACGAATTAAAATTTCGCTACAGTTCATAGTAAAAATTATTTAGAGAATTGAATTTCACATCGAAATGGCTTATTTAAAAAATTTAAAAGGAAAATTTTATGCAAAAAATCGTTAATAAACAATTTGACAACTAGCAAAAAATTCGATTTTTGTGTTTTTTTTACTTTTTTGCCTCTAGGTTTTTTTTTTGACTAAAGATAGGAATAGGCATTGCTTCATAAAAAAAATAGATAAAATTTCCTTGAAAATAAGAGGTTGTAAACTGTTTTTGGGTGAAAATTGACTGATATATGGCCGCTCAAATTTTTAGATATTTGTCGAGTTTACCCTTATACGTTTTAATTCTCATTTTTTTGCAAAAAAGGAAGGAAATAAGACGTTCAAGGATTTTCAAAAGAAAAGGCAAAATTTTGGTATAGTTCACAGGAAAAAATTTGTAGAGAATTAAATTTCCCATCGAAAGAGCTTATTTAAAAAATTTAAAAGAAAAACTTTATGCAAAAAATCGTTAATAAACAATTTAAAAAAAGAATATAGTGAAATTCGATTTATTAATATTTTTATGTCTAATACTGTTTTTTTTAGATATGTTTATTTTATTATCAGCTAACGAAGTTTTACTTTATATTTAAATTAATTCAAATAAATTTTAAAAATTAGTCAATTCATATGTACAGCAAGATCAGTTAAGGGTTGTTTTTGAAATTATTTTTGCCTAATCAAAGGTCTCAGTATCTGTGAAGTGATGTGGTGATGCATATTTTTGTATGTCTGCTCACTTTTTTATACATCCAAAGTCTGAAAGCAACAAACAAAATTGTTTATTGTTTACACTAGCTTATTCATTTCTCTCAGATGTGGCCAAAAATAATTAATATGTGCTTCAAAGGTGCTGATAAATTCTTCAAATTTTAACGGCAATGTCATTTTAGTTTAGAGGCTACAGAATGATTAGATTATTTCTAGGAAGAGGTAAATAATATACGACAAAATAGTTTTTTCTGTGTACAAGACATCCACACTGCTACATTTTTATTAAATTGACAAAAATAATAGTTCAAAACTTAAGATAATGTTGGTCTCTGTCTCAGATGGTCTTCTTTCAGGATATCCGACACCTGCTCGCCAACCATAACAGAAGGGGCATTGGGATGGCCAGCAAAAGTAAATGGGAAAACGCTAGCATCAGCAACTCTCAAATTCTTGACCCCATGAACCTGAAGCCTGGAATTTACAACGTCTCCCTTATCAGGGAACCGCCCCATTGGACAAGTCCCGACAGGATGGTACAAATCCATAGATATCTGCCTTATGGCGCAGTACCAATATTTTTCAGTAAGATATTTGAAGTTCTTACAGGCCTTCAACGGTCCTCCTTGGAGTTTCGACGCTATTTTTTGCAAGGATTTAGTACCTGCCAACTTAAGACCCAGTTGAATGCCTTCGTATATGGTTTTAATGTCTTTACTTGCAGGATCCGACAAGAAATTTGTGTTGATTAAGGGGTAGTTGAAGGGGTCGTTGCTTTTCAGTCTCACGGTGCCTTTAGATTCAGCATGTAAAGCTACTACGTATAGAATATATGTCTGAGAGCGATTATTGTGTCCCCAGACGTCCTGGTAGGATTGATCCGTTAAGCGGAATGCTTTCTGTGATAAATCGGTTGTTGCGTTTGCTGGAATAAACATGATTTCTATGTCTGGATATCCGGTGCCTGCAAACGTAAAATATATTAAACAAAGGTAATTATTGTCATTAGAATCTTACCATTTGTAAACTGTGATTCATAAAAACCTACCCCTTGGTTGTTTCCAGGAGCAGCAAGTGGTCCAAAGCCACGTAGGAATATTTCCACTTGTTCCCTCACAGACATTACAGGTTCAGTGTAGTTGCTCCCAAAGTTCAAACCGTAAAAGGTGGGGTGGTCTTTTAAACTACTTCCCACTTCTAAGTCTTGTATCACATCGATTTGCTTTGATTCTAGATGTTTCTTTGGGCCTACGCCCGATAACAGCAAGATGTGTGGAGAACTGATGGCTCCAGCGCATAATACCACTTCTTTTTTAGCACTCGCGACATAACTCTCTCCGTTACGAGTAAAGGAAACTCCTTTAGTGGTTTTAGTAGCTTTGTCTATCAGAATTTTCGTCACGTAACTGTTCTCTAACACTTGAAGGTTGTTTCTTTTCAAAACCGGTCGGACAAAGGCCTTTCCTCCATCGTACCGCCTACCATTCTTGGTATTTATTTGCGCTGGTGATGCTCCTAGCCCAGTACCAGCGTTGTAGTCAGCAACGGGCATACCAAGTTCCTCGTTTGCCTTGAGGAAGGCGTTCAACTGGGGGCTTCTCGGTAAGTGGTACTCGACATTTAGATATCCTTTCACGCCGTGAACGGATTCAACAACAGGTGCGTCTTTGTCGCGATGGTGGAAGTCTTCCGACTTCTTGAAGAACTTTAATACTGAGGGGTAGGCCCACCTGGAGTCGTTCACGTGTTTGCCCCACCTGTCGAAGTCTATGCTGGATCCTCTGGAGTATACCAGGCCGTTTATTAAAGTCGTACCGCCAATTCCTTTGCCTCGAGCCAGTGGGCATTTCTTGTCAACCATACCTAAGTAAAAAAATTACAGTGTTGTATAGTATAAGTAGTTACTGTTTACCTAGGCACGCGGTTTTCTGAGAGGTACTGGTAAAACCCCAATTGTATTTCGAGAATTCAACTGGGAAGTACATGTTCGGGATGTCTGTCAGATTATCACCGAAGCTTCCAGCATCTAGCAACAGTATTTTCCATGTTGACACCTCTGACAACCTGTTGGCCACCACGGTGCCAGCGGAACCAGCGCCTACTATTACAAAGTCGAATTCTCCGAAATCTAAAAGACGAAAACCAATTGTAATTGAATCAAGCGGAAAATTCAATTTGGAAATCTTCCGCGTAAAAATTAAGATCCTGGTGTTTGATTTTTAAATTTGAACCAAGTGGATATAGTGGGTAAGTAACATTCAAATCTTTCTTCCACGCACAACAGTATTATACAGGGTGGTTCACAAATGGTGACCAAAAATGAAACCTACATACTTATACTTATTACTTACAAATAATATAATATTTAATACAAACGAATAGACAATAATATCACATGCAAAACACCAACACAATAATGGAATAAAATTATTAACAAAGTTTTGAATTTTCCAATGAAACAATTCATTATAGGGAACACATTAACACAAAAACCAGAATTTTCATAACAAACCTGAAATATTGTCGCTCTTGGGTTTATACTCGTCTGCATTTTCTGGTAATTTATGAGTAAGGCCATTTTTCTCCGCACTTATTACTAGATTTGTTAGATAGTCAACCTCTTCTTGACAACTGGAAAAAAAATTTCCATCTATTTCTTCCATTTGAAAAATATCCAGAACAAAAATTGTAAGGTTTTAAGGGGCTGTACGATAATGACCTTGGTTTCGTGGTCATGCTTTATGGTCTAATTGTGACACTGATCTTGAGCCCTGTGGTCAAATTTAGGGGTCATTTAAGCTGACTTGACCTTTAGATGACCCCTACGGGACACTGTGTATAATAGTGTCAATAACCAGGTATTTGAACATTGTCTCTGGCAGTAACAAAATGGCAATTAAAATAAGGGACAACATAAATATTTCAACAGCCAGTAAATATAATAACTTTCCAAACATTTTCTTCTTAAAAATTAATCTAACTTTAAAGTTTGTAGAAATTCATCTCACATTACTCACCTTCTATAGTCAAAAGTTTGTAAACTATTAAAAACTAAAAAACAAAATTTGCCATCACATAACTTCAAAAATACCAAACAGAAATAAAAAATCATTAATTCCAAGATTTACCTCTGGCGTAATAAATATAATAAGATTTTAATGTTACATAAGACCAATTTAACTGGTCTTCCAAGTAACATCTTTGACAAATATTGTTGAACTGAATTAAATTTAAAAAATTGATTTTGTTTATAGTCACATCGTTTTATAATAGCGTTTAGTATAAACTTTCAAACGCTTGATAGATTACGAATTACCTCTCAATTATTTCCTGCCATTCCTAGATCTCATTACTGTTCCTGGAACTATATCTATAATAGCAAATTTTAAGAGAATTTTCCTTTAACAGTTCTATGTCTATTCTAATTTAGGAGTTTCTGTGGTTACACCTCACCCTGTACATATACAATAATAATAAAAACAAATATCCTAAAAAAACGTAATGCTTTTTAACGTCTAGATATTCATCATCATTTCTTTCTGTACATTACTTAAAAAAAATATATGCAAACGAGCCTAGTTAATTAGCTATAAACAAGGTTAAACAATAATGACAATTTTCTACAAACATTAGATAAGAAAGACAGACACACACAAAACAGTTGTATGTAATTTTCATGCGACATATGTTATCCGTAGTATTTTTGTCCCCCAATCTTTAGAGTATAATAAAACAAAACACCAATTTTATTAAAAAAGTTACTAAAAACACGAAAAGTTGGGGAGAGAGCTTTCGCTTCGAGACTGAATTCGGAGGTTCAAAATGCGAAGGTACCAAAAAAATTGTATTACCTCGGCTTATAATGGACCAATTTCGTTTTTTTTAATTCGATGTCTCGCGAGCCAGAGAATTCGAATATCGTAATGCCAACTGTTTAATTTGCACATATTTTATTGTAAACAAAGTGTATTATTTATGCATTAAATATACTGTATATTTACCCTATGCTATTGCATTTTTTAAATGAAATTTGTATACGCATATATTTCAACGCTCTGAATATGAATGTATAATTATTACAATTATTTAAATAATTTTTGTATAAACAAATTAATAAAAGATCTTTTATTTGGATTTTTTTTGTTAAATACAGATAAAATTAAGAAAAAATAGGACTTTAAAATTATAATTTTTGAAAAAAAACTAAATTGCAAATTGATAAAGGCAATTTAATTGTTTAAAAATAAAAAAAGAGTTAACTTTAAAAGTTTACTGTGGCTGTCCTAATCAATCGATTTCAATTTTTTAAAAACCATTTGAAAGGTTGGGCGGTCTTTTCTATGTGAACAAATTTTCAAGTATCTAAATGCTTTATTTGAGGCTGTGCAACATTTTGAAAATTCGAAAAGTTTTTTTCAAAATCTTTTCAAAAAATTATTTTGCGAAAACTGTAGAACCGATTTTAATTAAATTTGATGTGTTGTTTTATTATACTCTAGAGTTTTTACGAAAATTAGAATGCTCTCGGAGCAATTAAAATATGTATTTAAAAAATATATCAAAAAAACTTCATTATTTTGCCTTTTTTTCATCAATTTTTGCTATTTTGCAGCATCGGTAATAAATTTCAACATTTTTAACTTACAGTATATTGTGCAAAATTCAATTTTAAATCTTTTTTTCCTCTTCAATATTCCTCCAAAATGCATAGGTTCCAAGATATAAGCAAAAAAACTCTATTTTTTTAAATTTTTGTAATTATGAAAATATTCCGGGCTTCGCCCAGATCTAGGGATCTACACTTTTATTATGTATGCGAGTGTACTGAAGGTATTCCAGCAAAAATTAGCTTGCCCCCCCCCACCCCTTACATCCAAGAAGTGGTATAATTCGACAGATCCGCTCTGGTCTAAATGTAATTTCGTGACTGAGACTGCAGCTTCCAGCTGAGGAGCGTCAGTGCGCATCATAAGCGTACAAGCGGAAAAGGCGTGATAAAGAACACAGAGAGAAAGGGAAAGAGAGAAACTAAGGAATAGTTAAATAAAAAATAATGTGGTTTACGTAATTTAGTGTTATGACTATTTATTAATTCATATGAAATCTACCTGATGAAACAATCTTAAGTAAAATGTATGGTATGATAATTCAATGCGGGTAGGGGCAGGTAGTGTTTATTACAACTAAATATAAACAAGAGTGAGTGAGCGAGAATTTATCTGCAATGACAGAAAATTAAAAATGATCTACTTTGTATATACTTTCATGTGTAGCGGCTTAAATATTATTTGAATAGCACTTTGGGTGTTCAGAACAAAACTAACAACTTAAAACCATGATATTTCCATTCTGTTATTTGCATAAGCAAAACCAGGTATTTTATAACTATAATTACGATTCTAATACAATGGCAAATCCGAGAAAACATTATAGCACCGCATACAGGTACGTGTAGACGTAAAATCGGCAATATAATCCTTTAATTCTTCGTTTATATAGGAGAGCGAATGCGGTTCGCAACGCACTGACTGTTGGGAAATCGTTTCTTCCACAACAGCTCGCTCATATTGGACAAGTCATTTGAACGAGTTTTGCGTTATACTTGACGATTTCACTGAAGTGCTGACCTGCAATTTTTGTTTTTTTTTGTTTTTGTCTCGCGGCTCTGTCGCGTCCCAAAATTATCGGTGCATCTGAGGGCGGAAGAAGTGCACCGAGAGGTTCTTCAGAACTAACTGATTACCAGGATAACAGCTTTTTATAGGTGAGTCTAGTATACCTATATTGTTCCTTCAAGAAAATTTGTCAAATACGCGAGTATTAACACATATTATTTATTGTTTTATTATTTTATTACATATTTCACCCCCTGAAATGTTGCTTTAAAATAAATAATACCTCTTTTCATAAGGCCCTAGTAGTTATTAGAATATTTTGACCACTGTCCGCAAAAGAAACTAAAAAAATTAAGTTAGTGTATGAGTGTGATCGTCGTGAATCATGGGTTATTTTACATAGAACTATTGATTGGAGACTGAATAACTTACAAATCTGTTTCGAAGTGTTAAAGCAAGAATAACCGCTGTTTTATATGCGTAGAAGGAAACTATGCTTTTGTGACAAAATTCCTATTTATTATTAAACTCTTTAAATGTTTAAAATCTAAAGGTGTGAAAGCTACACGTCTAGCAATTTTCTTAATACAAACGTGAGAGGTAGATATCATTTAAAAGTGAAATAAGCGCGGCGCTATCTGTCGGCTCGCGAAAGAACTATGTATCTTGAAACAGTTGTGTTGGGTTTTGGTGTTTCTGGTATTTATTTATGTTACAGTTCCTAGATTTATTTAAAAATAAATTAAAAAACTTTTTGTTGCAGTTTACAATGTAAATATTCTCAAATGTTTGTAGCTTTACGTACTTATAGTCTGTCAACATTTTGTAGTTCTCAATTCCCGGCGTTGAAATCACATTTTCATATGCCTCAATTGCATTAGGTATTGATAGATGGCGCCACAATCGCAAGTACAAGTTGTAGAAAGCTTTACTTAAAGCAGAATAATTTAAATTTATTAGACGGACATCAAAATAAATCGATTTTTGTTTAAAATTACTCTATTGATTTATAAAAGTGCATAGTATACTTTCAGTACTTAATTATTTATTGGTAACAGTTTTTAGTTCTGTTTTATTTAATTTGTTGTTTCTTTCCAGTTTGATAGAAATACCCAATTAAGTAAAATCAGTGTATATTATGTTGCCTAACTCGTATTTCAATTATGATGCCATGTGTTTCGTATTAAGTGTTGCCTATTATTTGGCTATTGGTAAATCCACCTATATAGGCCAGGAAATATAGAAATGGACGCGACTTTTTGTTTCGGCAAGCTGAATTTATCCCTACAGATGCTAAATATTATGTACAATAATATACTAGTTTCCACAGTCATAAAACTGGGGGGGGGGAGATTTTTTACAGGCTGGTTAATTGTATAATTTTTATGTAAATTCACGTATTTCGCTTATAACTTTTTTCCATTCATTTCCACGAAAAAACAGTAAGGTACTTTTTTTCGTCTTCAAAAGACCTACAAAATTAGCCCTTGAGCGTCAAAAAATTTTGATTAGATCAAAAATTATAAAGAGAAGAAGTTTATTTATGACTTTTGAATTAAACATTTATAAACTGCGTTATTATTACCAGAATGTTTTGGCATCGCATCCTCTCATTCCTTATCACTGTCTAATAACTCACACGAAATCTGGAATCGGTAAGTTGAACAGTTTACAAGTTATGGCTGTATAAATAAATTAACTAATTCTTAGTCTGCACGATCCCGAGGATCTTCCATAATCGCACTGATTTTTTTCGTGGTAGATTTCATAATAATACATTTAATATAATTTTTTTTATTTCAAATTTGCAACCTGGAAATTTTTTTTATTTTTTAGCCTTAGTTGCAAAATGAAATATACGGCGCACGAACGTTATATAGTTATACATAATTACATATTCGGAAAGCTTATGAAAAGAGCTGTAAGTTTAAAAAAAAAATCGTCAAAATTCGTAGAAAACGTAAAAACTGTACAATTAACCACCATGTAAACAATCTTCCCCCAATTTTTATGAGTGTGGAAACTAATATGTACATAATACATAATATTTAGCATCTATAGTGATAAATTCAGCTTGCCGAAACAAAAAGTCGCGAAATGGTGATTTCCCAGCTTATTTTCCTATTTAATTTCTGACTAGATGCGAAATTAATTATTATCTGTTACATAAATGTATTTAAAAATGCCATATTAAATTAAAAAAATCTTATAAATGTAAACTTTTATTAAAACGATCTGTTCTGGTTTCTGGTACAAAAAAAGCTTTCATATAAACAAATACCTATATCAAATATTATTATACAATCATAATATTATTAACAATGCTTTTACTTTAAGAAAAAAAATCCTTATAAGTCGTATAACCCTTTGAGGATCTCAAAAATTGATTTTTAGGAATAACGATTGAACATATACGATTTCTTGGTTATGTTTTTTTAATTGGAATATCATATTTTTCTCAGTATTTTTTCTGGATTGGATTTTATTCTTATCGACATTATGATATTCTATCCTGGAACTGTGCTTTTATCATTTCACTACTGTTAAATTTTATTCAAACAGAAATAAAAACTTTTTTAAAGTGTTAATGATAGTATTAAAAATGGTGTGACAATTATAAAATGGAACATGCCTCATGTGTAACTTTTTTTTAACACTTGAATGAAACTATAAAGTTTCCTTTTATTACAATTAAATTTGATTCACAAATTGTGACTAAATTGGTGCTTTACGGTAGCAACCATGATATTTTCGAATTCGTCTTTCAATTTTCTACAAATTCCTACTTCTTTATGTTTTTCGTATATGGAAATACGTATCTACCCTATTAAAGAACAAACACCAAACAAAATAGTTAAAAAAATTATATTCCATTTAAGAGAAGAAACAAATAAGAAATAACTAAACATTACGTAAATAGTAATATTGTTAGAGGCTTATTCTGCTCACTGTGTAAATCCTAACCCGGGTACGCTTCTTCTAATGGAAAAATACAATAATTGGGCGGTGCCGCATACATTATCCCGCCGAGCCCGGCATTTCATTAAAAGAATCTCCGTTCTCGTTTCGTGAATGTAAAATCTATATCGGCGAAGAATAACTAATGAGGTCTAACAATAGTTTCACCTTATATCATACGCAAACCGTTAAAGGAGTTTATTTAGTGGAGAAAAAGTGTAAGGAAACTACGCAGTATATTCTATTTTAGATCCTGATAAAGGTGGTCATACACGTTACGTGAAGAACTTGGAAATGATCGTGTAAGATGTGTCTTACACCCGTAAACAAATAATGAAAGAGTATTCCTTATTTCTCTATAATATCAGTCACCAATTCATGCATAAAATGGATCATAATATTTTGTATATCTTCCATAAAACTTGTAACAATGAGACTGTTTGTTTTGTAACTGAGTTCATTAAAAACATAAAAAGCACATACCTTCAGTATCATCAGAAATAATATCCGTTAATCATCGAATTTTGTCAGTCTGTATTTAATATACATACGTATATCTAATTCCTGGTAAATTATATGTACGTATTCACAATACTTCATTTGTATGTTTTGTATTTCAGTAATCTACGGCATGAAATTGAAAACGGTTGCCAAGGATTAACTACAAATACAATTTTTTGGTTCACTTCCAAATAAGGCTATAATAAAACTGTAGCGAAAATAAAAATTACGTAGAATTCATTTCTTCAGAAACAAATAACATTTTTTTATCGTCTTTAGATTGAACTTGTTTTAAAATTAAATATATCAACATATGCATATTAATTGACAATTCTAGGATTTTGCATGTTTATGATTTTATTTCTATATTTAGATATAATTTCGATAGTTATCATCAGCATATTGCGTCGAAATATAATCTCATTTTTGATTAACTTTTCCTGGAATCAGGCAAAGAAAACTTGTAATACCAAATAAAAAATTACAAATCATAATATATTTTGCAAAAGAAAGTTAACTTGAGAAAATCCATATAAGTAGAAAAAAAAGCATATCACTGATTTAGCAAAAAAATATAAAATGTATAATTACAAGGTCTGTGCGATATTTAAATTTGGTTATAATGTGAATAAAAAAGAAAAGTTTCCCTTCAGTAGGCAATCAATTTCAAGTTTTGTATGTTTTGCGAGCAATTGATGTTCGTGATATAGGTATTTAAGAACACAAGTATACCAGATAATTAAAGAATTTTTTTCAAAAACGTGTAACGTATACAATGATGGACTTTTTTCTGATTATTTTTAAATTTAAAAAAAAATCTACTTACTTGTTATTGGAAGCATATGTTGCAGCTATTTGGAATAGTACAATAATTAGTAAATTAAGAACGACTGCATTTATCTTCATTGTACATTTACCAAAATCTCTATAAGTTAAAATACAAATGTCCTAGTGCCTGTTACGCCTATTTATGCAATAATTGTCATTACAGTTGATATGGTCTCGAGCGGTCAAAGTTTATCGGCATTTACCGTTAATTTATAAACAATTTAAAGTCTGGAAAGGAAAGAGAGTAGTAAAACCCCGAGATAAGAACCGGCCATGGGCGTGGTAATATTTCGTTTCAGGTAATTATCGGGTAACACTAATGCTAACAGGTAATGGGTGTACATTAGTATATTTTACTGGATACATCATAGGGCAGGAGCCAGTGTATTGTGACAGATCAATCCAGTCTTAGAGCTGAATATACGAAGACGTGCTGGTACAGTAGAGTAAAATTCGACTTGTGTTTAGTGACTATTGTGCCAGTGGATATAATATTGTTTGGATAAAATGTCGAGCTTATCAGTTTACGTACCTGCTAAACGCGTGAAAAGATGTGCGCTGTCTCAGAATGAGAAGATTATTATATTAAATGTATTTAATGCATTGAAACACCCAAATCCTACCAACAGTGTTGACGACATCGTGGCAAAGTGTTCCAAAATGACAGGGATTGGAAAATCGACTATTTACAGACTTTTAAAGGAAACAAAAAATGAACAAGATACTGTAAATCCCCCAAAATCATCTACAGGGAGGTCAAAAGTCGTTATAGATGATTTCTTTAAAAATGTCATTCGCAGAAAAGTACACTCATTTTATTTTAAAAAAGAAATACCAACGCTAAACAAAATGTGAACTTTCAGAGGACAACGATTTGTCAAAAATCAATAGAAGCAAATTATGGGCCGTCTTACGAGAGTTGAATTTTTGCTGGGAAAAGCAGAACAGGAAGTCAGTTCTTATCGATAAAGATGAAATTATTTGTTGGCGAAGATCCTACTTAAGATCAATTAGAAAATTCCGTGACGAAGGGAGGAATATTTATTATCTAGACGAAACTTGGGTCAACGAGGGATATACTGTAACAAAAGTATGGCAAGATAAAAATGTAAAAAGTTTTCGACAAGCATTTTTGGATGGACTTTCAACAGGGTTCAAGGCACCTTCAGGTAAAGGGCGAAGATTAATAGTGACACATATAGGTAGTGCCAGTGGTTTTGTAGATGGCGGTTTACTTTTATTTGAATCTAAAAATACAGGTGACTATCACGAAGACATGAACGCAGATGTTTTTGAAGAGTATTTTACACAGATGTTGGATCTTATTCCTCCGGGGTCTGTAATTGTCATGGATAATACCATTCACGGCAGACCGAGCGGACGCCTACGACTGCTTGGAGGAAAGCCGATATAATTCAATGGTTATCCGGAAAAAACATTTATTTTGAAACAAATATGGTGAAAAAGGAACTTTTGACACTTGTCAATCTTAATAAAGATCAAAAAAATATGTTATCGATGAAATGGCAACAAATCGCCAAATATATTTTCAACAGACATTCGTCATATCGCGGGGAGCGAAAATGCAGTGGCCGACGCGTTATCGTTCGTGAAATCGAACAGTGGATTACCAGACATTAGCCAAGGCGCAGGAAGATGACTTTGAATTAAAAAAACTTTGCGAGGAAAAGACTAGTGCTTTGAAATTGCGGAAAGTATTCCCTATTTCTCTATAATATTAGTCACCAATTCATGCATAAAAAGGATCATAATATTTTGTATACTTTCCATAAAACTTGTAACAATGAGACTGTTTGTTTTGTAACCGAGTTCATTAAAAACATAAAAAGCACATACCTTCAGTATCATAGAATTTTGTCAGTCTGTATTTAACATACGTACGTATATCTAATTCCTGGTAAATTATATCTACGTATTCATAATACGTATTTATATACTTTGTATTCCAGTAATCTATAGCAGGAAATTAAAAACGGTTGCCAAGGAATAATTACAAATTTTTGGTTCACTTCCAAATAAGGCTATGATAAAACTGTAGTGAAAATAAAAATTACGTAGATTATTTGACAATTCTGGGATTTTGCATGTTCAAAAATATTTTTTTTGTACTTAGATGACATACATCTATGGATTAAGCATGACACAAATTGATTATATTTCTATATTTAGATATAATTTCGATAGTTATCATCAATATCATTACCATATTGTGCCGAAATATAATCTCATTCTTAATTCACTTTTCCAGGAATCAGGCAGACGTTTCAAAAAGAAAACTTGTACCTAATACAAAATAAAAAATTACTAATAATAATATATTTTGCAAAAGAAAATTAACTTGAGAAAATCCATATAAGTAGAAAAAAAACATATCACCGATTCAGTAAAAAAATATAAAATGTATAATTACAAGATCTGTGCGATATTTAAATTTGGTTTTAGTATGAATAAAAAAGAAAAATTTCCCTATACAGTAAGCAACTAATTTCAAATTTTGTATGTTTTGCGAGTAGGTACCTAATATTCAATTGATGTTCGTGATATGTTTAAGTATACCAGATAATTAAATAATTTTTTTCAAAAACGTGTAAACGTACACAATGATGGACTTTTTTTGATTCTCTTTAAATTAAAAAAAAAATCTACTTACTTGGTATTGGAGGCATATGCTGCGGCTATTTGGAACAGTACAATTAGTAAATTAAGAACTACTGCAACATTTATCTTCATTGTACATTTACCAAAATCTCTATAATTTAACATACAAATGTCCTAGTGCCTATTACGCCCATTTATGTAATAGTTGTCATTACAGTTGATAAGGTACCTATTTATAGTATAAGTTAAACATATATGTTGCTGAAGCAATGTAAAAAATTGCGGCTGGTGTGGTTTTAAAGTAGCTATATTTTACAAACAGTGCTGCCAGATCAACTGTTTCAACGGTAGACTTACAGATTTCTTTGATAAAATACCCCTTCCCGCCTTAGTAGTTTAAATTAACTATTTTTTGTGCATGTTTTGTTGAATGCAAGGAAATACAAACTTTGTTTGAATTCAATAAAAAATTTGAACCTGTTCGAAAAGTCGATCTGGCACCACTGCTTACAAATATATGAATTTTTAAATAAGTCAGTCGCATATAGGGTGTGCATTGTAACAATGAAATTGTTTAAGAGATATATCAAAATCAGTTCGCATTACAAATGTCAAAATTTACAGTTGTCCAGTATCCTATCTGACTGTTGACGTTTTCCAAACGAATTATTTCAAACAAAACCCTGAACAACCAATTATATTTTGACAGTCTAAGTGGACGTCCTTTTCGACAGATAAGACGTTTGGTGTACGGACCGCTTTATCTTGAGCAGCATATTTCGTCCTCAAGAATTAATTTACTGCCGCCACGAACGCGAATGAGATAAGATCTCAGTTGGCATGCTAGCCGGATTTAACCGGATAGTCATCTAAAAATAAACCATCATAATGTCGGCTTATTGTAATTAAATGAATTTAAAATATTATGAATGAAGTCACGTGATTGTTCTTGCATAAATTCTAAAGCCAACCATGTCCGTGTTATAAAAATCGTATAAATGGTGTAATGGGTTCTTTTTTACGACAGACTGCTGGTCAGAGATCAGAAATATATGTACTTTTATATTAATAATATATTCCAGCTTTATTTCATGACTTTCAGGATATCAGTCTAGTCTGAAATGTTTGACGTTAGTAGTTCCGAAATTTGCCAACAATAACGTGAATTTTTTAATGGTTTTGCCCTAATTTAATTTGTAACTGTTATTAATCACTATTAAAAGCTTTCGTATGGGAGTTTTATAATGTAAGTACAACAGGTCATCAGAGAAATCAAAATGAATGAATAGACAGACTTCTTCCTGTTTGGTGAGGCATATTTTTAAGGATTTGGGCTTAATTTATACGTTTTCATAGCTGGTTCAGTTGTTTTTTTATTAGGTGGTCTATGTAGCAGGTTTAGGCCAAAATACTTCAAGTCAAGATTAAGGACATAAAACACATTCAGTAAAGTCACCTTACAAAGTTCTTCACTGTAATACAAGGCGTGAAACAATTTTATCTGACATTAAATCTAAAATATGTACTTAAATACAACAACCCGCATAATATACTGTTTTTAACCTCAAACACGTACAAATTTGTTAAATAGTCACCTGTATATAAAAGCCTAATAGTTATTTTTGTTTGATCTTGCACTCTTATAGTCTACAAGATATTAAAGCTCATTTTTTGAGAACTTCATCCAATAAGATAGAGTTTTTGCGATATGTTTTATTTGTATTTTCGTGCATTGTTCACTTATCCTGCAATTATAATAAATAATATAATTAATAAAATAAATAAATAGATAATCTGGATCTACCCTAATTACGCACAAGTTTTTAAGACCGCTATTAAAAATAATCTTCACGTAATTATCTATATAAAAAGTGATCTTACCCAATATTAAAATGGTGATAAAATTTTTAATAACTTTAGGGGCAATCGTTTCTTGTAGAATGAATAAAAGAGGAACTAAGAATGTGAAGTTTTCGGTAATTTATCGAGTTTTCTTTCCAACTTCCCCCTACAATAGAAACTTTTGCTTGCCCAGTTGCCCAGAAAGTGCCGTAGATATTGATAAAATGTAATTTATAGCTCGACCTCTTGTAAGGCATATATTTTAATAATTAGGTATAATAAAGGCTGCGAATTTTATCTTTAAATGTATGGTAAATAAGTTAGAAAAATGACTTTTACCGTCATTTCTCAATGATAACGCAAATTATGTATTATTTTACTAGTTAAGATTCCTGGAATTGTTAGTTGTTCGCCCTTATAATAATAGTTTCGTTAAACGGTAGGCTAATTATCTGAATCTTTGGTTTGACATAGAAAAGTATCGCTAAAGATGTGATATATGGCAAATAAAACATTTACTATAAATTATATACACATCTACTGATGTTCACGTAATTATTTCGAACAAATGTCAATTTCAAAACTAACCATGTTTACCAACATTGCAGAACTGGTACTGATAATGAAAATTTTCAAAATCTTGACGTCACCATTCGTTTACAATGAATAATGACAAAACGTTACGGCTACGCTCGAGATAATGCGATTGCTGATTGGACGAATAGAATCTCGTGAAAAAATACACCAATCACAGCGGGTGAAGCTGAATGTTATGTTGTAACGTAATCTTGATCTTATCGTTACAATAATTTTTAATTTTACCGAAATTTCAACGCCAACACGAAGGAGATAAAATTACTGTTCAGAACAAACTCTGACATTTAAGGACAATCCATTTATGTATTAGAAACAAAGTTAAAATTTATCAATAAAAATGTAGTGTAGGATTGTAGTTAGTTCAATCGAAACTGATAAGGAATGTAACTTTTTGCACAATAAGGTGCATTTCTATACAATTATTTTGCAATGCCCACGACACTGAAAGAATGGCAAATGTTTTTTTTATTAGTAGGGTTATTCCCCTTCTGGTATACAGTAGCACTAACTTTATGACCTACGCTATATTTTGTTATTCTGAAAAGATACTAGTAAAGTATTTGCATGAAAATTTCCCGTATTTGTTTCTCGATAGCATATTAATATAAATATCCAATTAATGTCAAAATAAAAAGTTCCTGAATGGGAATAAATGTTTGATTACTTTACCGTACCTTCACACCAAAATTAGGTAAAAGCGTTTTATTTTCATAACAAAGCAGTGACATGAACAAATCGATATTAATTAAATCGTCCTCATTTCTATTTCATTAGCTAATGATACAACCTTTGTATCGTGATTTGGCTTAAATCAGGAATGATTTAAAGTCTTGCCTCCCTTGGCAATCCCTGTTGACATTTTGACAGAAACCAATGACTATTAACGGATGACGATTGATGTAATATTGTCAGTATTGGTAAATGAAATTGAGAATTACAAAGAAACTTTTTACTACAGAAAATTTAGTACATAAATGTAAAATATCCCTAAAATGTCATGCGACAATTCTTATAATTTGCAAAATATTCCAAAATCAATTTCAATCAATTTCCAATTTCAATATTCTTCAGCTTCTTCTATTCTTCTTTTGTGCAGCTTCTATAACAAGCAAAATTTGTTCTCTGCCTCCTACAATATAATCGAAAAAGGCAATTTTCGGAAACAGTACACATTTTGACTAATTAATATTGTAGATCAAAATTATATATTTTTGTAACTCTAGGCTTTGCCTGGCTTGAGCACTTTTGTAGGTCTCCTTTGAGTACTTAGTTTTTATTCCTTGGGCTCTGATTAAATCTATACAATACAATGGGCATACAATCAAGAAAACGTATTGGCCAGACCTCCCACTCTGGTTAATGTACTGCAAGGTACCAAGGCTGACGTTCGAACACACACTATAATGGCTCGGCAAAGGTCCTACAGCGATCCTCGTTCATATTTGAACCTTTTGCCTTTCAGGAATTGCTGATCTTTGGAATTTGCTCGATTCGTGGTGGTATCTAGGCTGTCGTCCAGTGTAGTGGTGTGTTCTGATGCTGTGCAATGTATGTATATCAAAATGAATTTATTGATATCACCAGAGCTATGGGAGAATCCGTCTTAAACATGTGCTGTATACGAAGCTATAGCTTCGCTGCGATAATTTTAAGTGAAATAAAGCACGTGAAAGCTTCTTAGTCGCACTCAGGACACCCTAAACATACTCACATCACTTTGAGTTGAGAAAATCATCTTACATTTTGGATTTGGCAGACTATCTTGGCACCAGCCCAAGTACAGCCCTGGATACCAATTTCAGGTACATTAAAGCGAACGTCGAGCAATTTTAAATGCCGTCTGTTTACCGCACCTTCCGCCTGTTTCGTAATACCAGTCTGTGGGATAGGCCAATCGTCTCCGACTTGTTCGACGCCTTTTGCTGACCTTGAACGGAGAGTACGAGCCGTATTCGCTTCCCTCGGACTTTCAAGAAGGGAATCCGGCGGCTTCTGTGCCTCGTTGTTTTCTCTCGGAACGGGACGGCGGTCCCTACTTTTTGGATTTATCGATTGCGTTCTTACAAAGTTGCGTTATTCGAGATGGACTGCCGGCGCCAAGGCACATAATTCCGGTTAACTTGCTTCTGAATGACGTAAGTAGCGGAATTTGCTCTTGAAATGTCTAAATTTTGATCGTAGTTGGTTGAGATCTCCCGCAAGTACCGTAACAATTCGTAGATGGATTATTTTTTCTTGGAAATAAATCTGCTTTAAACTTACTATTGCTAGGTATTCTGCGAATACCGCATATATTGCAAATAGCTTGATTAAAAATCGTGAGTTAGACAAAAACCGATTGTGCTGAAACCCATCCTAGCTCGAGCACAGTCAACAGAGAGAGAGAGAAAGAGAAGCTTCACTATTTGCTAACAAGGATGTCCGTAATATCCAGTGTAGGAAATTAGCTTTTGTCCAACAGTTGGAGTTTTGTAAGTGAAGCCCATTTATTGAAAACAAAAAATAAAGAATAATTTTTTTATTTAAGGCTTACCTACTTTCAATGTTACAGCGAAAAATATGTCAAAAAACGGGTCATTTTTCGTTCCTTTTGTATGTTTGTTGTTCCCCTGAATTTAGCAATGGTTTTTTGGAATAGGCAAACTCGGATTCTTATTCTACATAATATTTGGGATTTTTCTGGTACAACAAAATAGATGGCTTCAAATACAGACGCCTTGAATGCTCTACCGCCTGGACTATGCCTCAACTACCTACAAGGAAATTAAAATATGTAAATATTACTTTGATTAAATATATTTACAATTAAAGCAGACGCATGTAAGAGAA